AAATTTGATAATTTGACAAACGTCTTTAGAACGAGAGATACAATCAGTAGCCATCTTTGCGAGCTATTGCTACACAACGACAGGGCAAATCGATTGCAATTTAATAAAGGAAACAATTGCCCACTGGTTTATCCATTACTTTACATGATTGGAGCGGCACGGGAAAAGTTAACACTTTTTATGACAGCTGCTTTGAATAGAAATACATTTTTAATATCTGATGTATGCGGCTTAAATTTTATAGTACCATTGTAAGACAGTAAGTATGAGTAAACAGTCCAAAGTTTATTCTGTTGGCCTGAGGAGATTATGGCAGAAAAAGAATCAACAAGCGAAACCATATTACAGGTGAATTCTTTCATTAGAGGGTATCATGAATATCAAGAAATTTGGACACCGGAAAAATGCAATGAATATGAACTTAAGCGAGAGCCACTTAACAAGGTTGATCACAACGCTGTAAATAATAATAATAATATTTATTACTTGGTATTGCGCAAATTAACATATGTCAAATGATCGAATGCGCGTTATAAACTATTAAAGCTAACTAAAAATATATTAATTATCAAATTAAACATGAATATATCTGTAAATGACACCTAACCAGGAGCCTGACCTAACTTAATCATTTAGTACTTAACCTGTTACTTACAATAATTATAGCTAAAAGAAATGTTATATGTTTCATTAAAATTGATAGAAAAAAGAGAGTAAAATTAGTATACACCTATGTATAATTAAAAATTGTATGCAAGTTTAAAATAATAAGTCTTTAGCTGTTTCTTAGAAGTATAATAGTTGTCCTGTTTTCTAATGCCCTTCGGTAAAATGTTCCAGATTCTAGGGGCGGCTACTTTGAAAGTTCTGTCTCCAAGTGTCTTCTTTGATCGTGCACCATAATCCTCGAGTAACATCTTGCCGTCCGATCTAAGATTATATCTGGTGGTACTCTTAACTTTTATTAGATCCTTAAGGTATTCGGGTGCGTTGCCATAGATTCACTTATGAGCAAACATTGCTATCTTAAAATTTACCCTATACGTTACTGGAAGCCAATGTAAATTAACAAGTGTAGGAGTAATGTGATCATA